TAGCCGACTATTGCCCTCTTTTGCTGTGCAATTCAATACACACTTCACTATTAATAAACGCTATTTCGTGTCATTTTGAATACAAAATTAAGGACAAAGTCATCGAAATATGTAAATATTCTTAACCTAGAGTTATAATAAAGTTCTTGGAATGTCATAAATATATTGGTATTCATGACTGACTTATATAAACAATATTAGAAATTAATCAAAACATTCAAAATGTTTTTAATATAGTTTCGCAGTTGTATTTATTTCTATAAATTTAAACAAATTCTTTATAAATAGATTTGTAAAAATCAAAACACCGATTGTTTGTTTATAACAAAAAAGTTACTTAACTTTAATCTTATAAAATCTGAACGGAATGTCAACAAAGAGAAGGGTTCCCACAAATACTAACACTGTTCCCAACCAATGACTAGCTGTAAATGGGTTTTGGAAATAAACTATCGATACAATTAACGATAAAAACTTTCTGATTGTCACCACAAGTGTTACTGTCAATGAAGTGCATTCTGTGGTCAATCGGAATACACTTCGTATACATATATATTGTGTCAAACAATTCAATATCAATAATAGCCATAATTTAGGCACAGATATCGAGAATAGAGACAAATCAATTAAATAAGGACTAGAATTGTTAAAAATGACAAAATGATTGGCGATGTCTGACGTCAAGAGCAGGAAACCGGGAAATTGAAGAAAATGCTAATCAATAAAACAAATCAAATGTTTGATTAGTGTGTCGTTAAATATAAGTTAATTAAATAATGTGTATAAAAAACTCAAATATAATGTATACAAACATACAGTATAAAAGAGTGCTTCGCGTGGATGTTTGCCAAACTGTTGGAACAGTTTCTCCTGAAAAATACCCGTATTTGCCGATACAAACAATGAGAACAGCAATAATAGTATACCAAACGTCCAATCAAACGACGATATCGTCTCATTTGAATGGCTTTTATCCTTGAAATTCAAAAAATGCAATTCAATTAATATAAAAATCTATTATTTGAAAATAAAAACAAATAAAAAATACAAAACTCATAATGAAAGTGGTGTTCATAAACACAATTTCATACCGTATCGCGAACCGAAGCCAATGTGCAAATAATTATACCGATTGTTATAATGAGAACCGATATGTATTTGGAGGCACTGTAGCGACGCTTTAAGATTAAAATTCCTAAAATCAAGTTTGCGATTAACGAACCCTAGAGTCCAATCGACATCAAGAAAGTCCATTAATATTCATTTGATTAATTGTTTTTGTGTCAAAACAAATGCATTCAATAATTATATTCCAAATCCTATTCCCATTTATATTTTCAATGTCATCATTGGTTAAGCAATACCTTATTGTGTGTATTTTATTTTATTTCAAATCAATTTAACATTAAAATGATCATGATCAAGTTAACTTTCTCTCTCGTTTCGTGTCTGATATATAAGATTTTGGAAGTAATTGTTTATAATTAGAAAAATAATTAAATTTGATGATAAAAAGGACTGGCATTCACATAGAGACAACACATAGAGTGTACGGAAATATAGCATAAGTTTTTAAAAACTATAAGTGTTTTCCTGAGCTATCGGTTGTCAGACAACTATCAGTTCATTATATTTCATAAACATTTAATACATTTCTTTTTGTTTGGAAAGAAGCGGAAACTAATGTCGTATACATAGAGATAGAGATAAATCTAAATGTATTGGTATTTTATCATTATCTGCCAGTATTTGAAATTAAATCAGAATATAATATAATATTTATGATTTCCGGAGAAAAATTATTCATAATATTTAAGAAATTGTATATAAAAACAAGAAATGTATTTATAAGGAAAGCAATGAAGAAAAAAGTTTAGTTTTTAATAAGTTTTGTCGTGAATGTTATGTATTGTTTAATCCAATCGCTTATTTAAATACAGGATCTGATATTTTTTGTTCATATGTGTTAATGAAATAGATTTCAATTGTTTATACAATAGAGGATTGTCTGCACTTCAATGTAAGTAATAATAATAATATTAATATTAAGTTTATTTGCAAAGACTGTGTATTTGTCTATAAGTCACGAAAAGGCATCCATACATGCATTTATACTTTTAATTATATTTGGTTAATGTGTTTAACTTATGAATCATAAGTTATGATCGCTTTTTGTTTATAAAACTTTATATGAAATATTGTTTATTTTGAGTTCAATTTTAAACATAAGTGTTAACTCTTGAAAAACTATTGCAAAAACACATTATTAAGGCTTAAATATATGGCTAAAACACATTAAACGGTATATTTATCTTATAAAACGCTAATTGCTTTTAAAACGGCAAACAAGTAATGCATTTGTATTGACGGCCAAAAAACAAACCCAAAAAATCACTCACAGCTCTGAATATCATAATCAAAGGCATCGGGATTTTGAAGACATTAACGTAACTACAGCTCAAACTGACCACAAAGAAGTGCAACACTAGTAATATGTAGTTTCTGTGCAAAAGACAATACAAACAAATCAATGATTGTAAGAATGAGAGAGAGAGAGAGAGAGAGAGAGAGAGAAAGAGAGAGAGAGAGAGAGAGAGAGAGAGAGAGAGAGAGAGAGAGAGAGAGAG